TGTTCTCATTTGATTCTAAGTATGTTCTGATTTCACTTTTGATTTATTCTATGACCCAATAGTTTTTAGTAATAAGTTATTTAGTTTCCATGTATTTATTTTCCTTATTCTTTCTATTATTGATTTCTAGTTTCATACTGCTATGGTCAGAGAAGATGCTTTGTATTATTTAAATCTTTTAAAATTTATTGAGCTTTGTTTTGTGGCCTAAAATATAGTCTATCCTAGAGAACGTTCCCTGTGCATTGGAAAAGAATGTGTATTGTACTGCTATTGGATGGTGTATTCTATGTATGTCTGTGAGGTCTAGTTGGTTAATAGTGTTATTCAGATCTTCTGTATCTTTATTGATTTTCTTTTCAGATCTTGTGTATCTTTATTGATTTTCTTTCTTGTTCTATCCATTGTCAAAAGTGATGTATTAAAATCCTGTACTATAATTGTGGATCTGTCTGTTTCTCTCTTCAGTTCTGTTAGAGTTTGCTTTATAAATTTTTGGACTCTGGCTTTGGGTGCATAAATATTTATCATTGTTATTTCTTCTTGGTGAATTGACCCTTTTATCATTATATAATGTCCTTCTTTTTCTCTTATAATGGATTTTGACTTAATGTCTGTTTTTTCAGGTACTGTTGTGCTACCCCTGCTCTCTTGGTTACTGTTTGATTGGTATATGTTTTTTTTTTTTCATCCTTTGATTTTAATCTGTTTATGTCTTGTGTCTAAGGTGTGTCTCTTGTAGACAACATATTAATGGGTCATGTTTTTAAATTTATTCTGCCACTCTCTGTCTCTTGACTGGTGCATTTAACCCATTTATATTCAGTGTGATTATCAATAGGTAGGAATTCACAGCAGTCATTTTGTTATACTTTTTGTGATGTTAATGGTTTCTTTACTTTCTGTGCTGTGTTCTTTTTGTATATGGATTTTCTTTTCCGTTTGTGTTTACTGAGTCTTTTTTATTTTCTACCGAGTCTTTTATTTTCTTCTTTATTTTGATGAGTTGATTTATTATTTTTTTATAATTACCATGAGGTTTACATTTAATATTCTGCATTTAATACAGTCTGTTATATCTCGAAATTGCCTTAACTGTCTCACCATATGGAAACTTTATAATTACACCATTCATTTGCCCTTTTGTTTTGAAATTGTCATCTATTACTTTTTTGTATCTCAGAATCCCTGTCAGCAATTTTTAACTTTGTATTACTGTTGTGATGTCTTTACCTAGGTTGGTAACAGAATGATGTTGTCATTTGTCTTTACCTGAGGTTATTTTCTGATATCTTTGGTTTTCTATCTGTAAGGACTCCCTTTCATAATTTTTATAGGACTGGTCTGGTAGTTACAGATTCTGTTAATTTCTGCTAATCTAAGAATGTCCTAATTTTGCCCTTATTTTTTAATAATAATTTCACCGGATATATAATTCTTGGTTGACAATTCTTTTCTTTCAGAGCTTTGTATATGTCATCCCATTGCCTTCTTGCCTGCATAGTTTGACGAGAAATCAGCACTTATACTTATTGAGATCCTTTTGTAGGTGATAATTTGCCTTTCATGTGCTGCTCTCAAAATTCTTTCTTTGTGTTTGGATCTGGAAAGTTTGGTTATGACATATCTTGGGGACTTTCTTTTGGGGTCTAGCCTATGTGGAGTTTGTTGAGCTTCTTGTATGAAAATCTTGTCATCTTTCATGATGTTTGGGAAGTTTTCTGCCATTATTTCTTTGAAAATTCTCTCTGTACTTTTTTCCTCTGTTTTTCTTCTGGGGTTCCTAATATGTTTATATTGTTCCTCTTAATGGTTTCCCACATAATCCTTAGGTTTTGTTCATTTTTTTCAATCTTTTTTCTGTTTGTTCCTCATATAGAGTAATATCAAGAGTTTTGTCCTCTATTTCATTGATTCTTCCTTCTGTTGTTTCAGTTCTACTACTATGTCCTTCCATTGAGTTGTTTCTTTCTCTTATTTTATTGTTAAGCTTCTGAATTTCTAGTTGTTGTTTTTGTAAGGACTCTATTTCTTTACTGAGTTTGTTGTTTTGCTCTTGTATTGTTTTCCTGAATTCATCTGGCTTTTTTCCCATGTTTTCCTTGATCTCTTTGAGGAGCGTTAATACTGGTTTTTGATGTCTTTGTTAGGTAGTCCTTTATCAGTTTTTTTCAGAAAGCTTTTCCATCCCTTTATTTTGTTTTTTTGCTTGAGCGTCTCATCTTGTTTTTTCATGTGATTTGTAATTGACTGCTGTCTTTAAGACATTAAAATTTTATTTATTTATATATTTCTTTAGCGATTATATGTTTGTCTTTATTGTATTGTGTGTTTACTTTGATATATCTGAAGCTTAGCTTCTTCCTTTTCTCTATAGATTGTCTATCTTCATTTGTATTATTTTAATTGTTGTTTTGTAATACTAGTCTATGTATGACTTTGGTGCTGCCAGTTGGGTGGGTGTAATCTTTTCTTACTGGTGAGTATGGTGGGTCACATACACACGGGAATTCTCTGACCTTAGGCATGTATGTCTTCTCTTATATGGTTGTGTGGAGGTGCGAGAGCAAGTCCCTTCCCCGATGCGGGACCCTAGGTGTCGGGTGATTAGGATCCCTCTGCAACCCTTGTGTGGCTGTGTGATCCTTCCGCATTGGCATGAGCTGTTAGTGCAGCCTCTGGAGAGCAGGATATGTCATCTTTGCAGTCACAAAGAAGCAGTGTTATTCAAATGGGCAAGGCAGGCCCCTGCTTAGTCATGGATTGGTGTCCTAGTGGAGGGGGAGGCTAGGGGTTTTCTGCATATGTGGGTGTTTCTGAGTATATAGGTAGAGTGTGGCAGGGGCACACGGTGGGGCACCATGGACACCACTCTGCATGGGCCAGGTTGGGGATGCAGTTGGTGGGGCATCAAAGGTGCTGCTTTATCACCAGATGGGGGCTCTTAGTTGGTGGGCTGGGTGGGGCTTGTGCATGGGGTGCCAGGGACACTGCGCCATTCAGACAGTTGGGGCAGGGGATGCTCAAACGGGGGGGAAGGGGAGATGGCACAGGGCCCATGGCGGGTGCTTCTAGTTATTACTCTGCTGATTTACTATTCAATGGATGTCTGCCATCCAAATGGATGGACACCACCACTGATAGCAAATCTCATCATATTTCCTAGGTCCCTCCCTTCTCTATGCTCACCAGGGACTCTGGAGCTCTCGCCGACCTTCTGTACTTATCCTTGTCCCACCGTAGATGCGCACTTCCTGTCTTATCAATCCCTTGTCCTGAGGCTCTGGCAGTTCAGTCCGCTTCACTTTGCTCCAGTGACACTTCCTTGTGTTTTCCCTAGTTTGAAAGTTGTGGCACTTCCATGTGTCTCCCTCTAGGACTGATTCAGTCTCAGCATGCAACCTGCCTGCCTTGTTTCTTCCCAGGTTTTTTACACAGTATCTCTACCTCCAGATGTGTGTTCCATGAAGTTACCTTCCTGGGCTCCTCACCTGGGGATTTGTTTGCTGCCATCTCAAAATGGCCGTACTGCGCCGGACTAGCAGGCTGAGCGCAGACGATCTGTGATCTCCTTGTTCCCATTGTTTTCGTTCTCTTTCCAGTCAGTGCTCAGTCCAGTTCTTCAACCTTCTGTTTGTTGTTCAAATATCCTAGGTCATTATTGTATCTGTTTCACTTAGTTTCTTGAGTCTTTGTTGTAGGAGGACATTATAGTCCATCTATCTAAGCTGCCATCTTAAATGGAACTCCATTAACTCTTTTCTTGTAACATAACTTGCAAATGACTTTTTTGTAGTGTATCATTGGTCTTTTTACATTGCTTATGGCACCATTTTCTGTGCAAAATGTCCTTTAAATTTTTTTCATAATCAAAGTTTTCAATTCTTTTTTTTTTTAAATGCCATCTGGATTTTAAGTCATAGGAATGTTTTTTTCTACTCAACAGTACAGGCAGTCCCCAGATTACGAATGAGTTTTGTTCCCAAGTCTGTGTTTAAGTTGAATTTGTATGTAAGTCGGAACAGTTAGGTACAGTTCATATCTAACGTCAGTTAGTCAGATGTTTGTCTTAGTATGTAGGGTACGTTTCTATGCATAAAAAACATTAAAGAAACATTTCCAGATACACTAAAACATCTGCAGTGTAATAATACAGTAATAATAATGTTTTGATGCACATCGCAAAGTAGCACCCATTTGTTATTATGAACCATTATACATACCTCAACAGTTTAATATAATAGGCTTTACAGGGGTGATGTTGGTTTGTAACTACAGGTTGTATGTAAGTCGGATGTTCATAACCCGAGGGTTGCCTGTATAGAAATTTACCCGTGCGATCTTCTGGTGCTTGGTTTGTTTGTTTTTCAGGTTGTTCTCTAATCCGTTTGGAATTTATCCTGCCGTGTAGAATGAGAAATAAACTTAATTTTATCTTTTTCCATATGTTTATTTAGTTATCTCAATACCACTTACTGAAAAGTCCTTCTTTTCCTCACCAATTTAAGATGCCACTTTCACTGCATGCTAAATATCTGCATGTACTTTTATCTGTTTGATTGGTCTATTTATTCAAATACCATAATGATACAGTTTTTACAGTTTTACAGAGTTTATCTATACTTATACATTCTTAATATTTAAAAACATGTTAATGAGTATAGAATTATTTGTTAAATTTTAAAAGATGTTAGTGTACCCTGACACTAAAATGTTCCAGAGAATCATAGTTAAAAGTCACCAGGTTATCATGGGAAATTTTTAATATAATATAGTAGCTATAAAGAGGGATTACTAGAACTGTTCTGACTGATCAGAAGCCAGAATGAAAGGGTAGAATTAGGGAGCAAAGGGTATGAGAATGTTTTTCACGACTTTGGAAAATAATTTCTTACAGGACTTTTCGTATGTAAGATTTGTCTGAAGATTATAAAAAGTATATCATTCATTTGTTGTAAAAATTTTTAGTAAATTACTTCTCTCTGTCTTTTTCCTTTTAGCACCATGTATGTATTTGGTGGTTTCAACAGTCTCCTCCTCAGTGACATCCTGGTGTTTACCTCAGAAAGGTGTGAAGCACACCAAAGTGAAGCTGCTTGTTTAGCTGCAGGACCTGGCATCCGGTGTGTGTGGGACATAGTGTTATCTGAGTGTGTCTCCTGGGAGTTGGCAACTGAAGCACAAGAAGAAAAGTTAAAATCAGAATGTTTTTCCAAAAGAAGTATGTTTTTTATCTACTTAAAATTTAAGATCTTACTTTCTGTTGATTAGTTTTTTTTTAAGTCGTATGTCCCTTACATTTATTTGGAATCTTTTTCTTATCTGAATTATGAGGAGACTTAGCATATGTACACACTTTATGTTCACTTTGTTATTGAAAACCATTTAGTAATTACTTGTTTAAAGCCTTTTTGGGTATTTGAAAATTGATGTATAAATATCTTTACAATGGATGCTAGCATGCCATATGACTCATAGAACCTGTCTGCAGATGATGGAGATAAACCATCATGGTATTGCATAGGCTTTGTATACCAACTTCAGAACCTGGCTGCAGTTGATCTGAGGCAGCATTATCTAAAAGAAGTTTTCTGTGATGATGGAAATATTCTATATTTTCATGGTTCCAATATGGTAGCCACTCACCACATTTTCAAAACACTTCAACTGTGTCTTTTATGACTGAGGAACTAAAATTTTAGTTTTATTTAATTTTAATTAATTTAAATTCAAAAGCCACTTGTGGCTGCCATATTGGATTATGCAAGTCTAACATTAAGGATGAGATTAAGAGGGTCAACCCAAAACTTTATTGTAGTAAATTGTTGTAGGAGACAGAGGTAGTTTTTGTCCTTGTAAAGTATTCTTTTCTAGCTTCTCTGGTTGGATATGGCAGTGATAGCAAGACAGACTGTTGCTGAGGATGAGCAGTGCTCCTTACTTCTAGAACCTTCGCTCTTGTTTTTCAAGTCTCTTTATCCTGTCTATTTAGCTTCTTGCCCTTTTGCTCTGACGTACGGCACAGTGCAATACAGTGAAATAATGTGTGAAAAAGTCCTTTAGAAGTAAGAAGAATGTGTCTGCAAAATATTTGTTTACTTGAATTAATTTAAAGTATGTTGAACTACCCTAGTAGGTCTTCACTAGTGGAGTTGGTATATCAGTTACCATGAGAGTTACAAAGGCAGCTTTCACTACTAGTGTTCTTCACTAGTAGCATTGGTGTATCAGTTGGTATATCAGTTACTGTGAGAGTTATAGAGGCAGCTTTCACTTTCCTGGGACGCTGCAAATAAAGGTATTCAGGAACATAAATCCTCAGTAAGAACATCCAGGCATCCCTGCCAGGCTCATTGGTTAGTTGGTGGATACTGGAGAACTGAGATTATCAGAACCTGATAGGGTTAATCACTATCTCCTGAAAGGGATAAAATCAGTGAGATGGTTATTTTTTTAGCCAAATTTTAGAAATTCAAATTAAATGTCAAGTTTATAGGAATTAATATTGAAATAATTTTGAATTAGGTGGTTCAGTATGAACCCATTTGCTGTGAACTCATCTCAGATGTTGACTGTACTTTAAAGTGGATGTTTCACTCCACTTTGTGAATGGGTCCAACCCTCAGGTGACAACCAGGGCAGAAAGAGCAAACTAAGGAGAGACTGCCAGGGTGTTTTGTGAGAGTGGGTCCCCACCTTTTTGAGTCTGTAGATTCCATCATGGAACTGTGTCCCCAGGGTGGTTGAATGGATGACGCAACATGGTTTTGCAGCTTCTCTTCTATTGCCAGAGGCACAACAGGTCTGTAGTAGCCCAGAAGTTCTCAGACTTGCATTCTTGGATTTTCATGTGGTGCTTCCTACTTCCTGTACCCAAATTAGGCTTGCATTTGTAACTGGGGGGATTGGCTTGGTCTCCTGCTTTGGCTCCTGGGCAACTCCTGGTGTTTATTTTATTGTTAATTGGTTTTTTTTTTTTTTTTCCTTGAGAAGAAAAATATTCGAAGAACCAAGCCTTACTTTCATTATATCTTATAGTTATTAAACTGACCACCCTGTCCCGCCACTTTCTGTGTACTTTTTTTTGGTAGAGGAGTGACAAAACAGTGTTTCTTCAGGTTATCTACTTATTGCTAAATACTATTTTAACTTGAGCATACTGATATATTTTCTTGCCAGTTTTAGTTCTCATTTTACTTGCCCATTGTGTTACCCTTTTTTTTTAACCTCAGCCTCAAATTGTGCTCAACAGCAACTGTAATGGCCTGTAATTTTTCTGAGGAGAAGCTGTCACGATTGATAGATTTTTCTTTCCCTTCATAGCTCTTGACCATGACAGATGTGACCAGCACACAGACTGTTACAGCTGCACAGCCAACACTAACGACTGCCACTGGTGCAACGACCACTGTGTCCCTGCGAACCACAGCTGCGCGGAGGGCCAGGTCAGGGGCAGCTTCCCCAGAATTTCAAGGATAGAAAAATCCTAGTTGGGGTTGGATTTAGATGACAGCATGTATGGTATAAATAATGGCTCAGAGTTATTTAAAAAATGGGGTGTAGATTTGGATTTTATTATTGCTCAGGTTGTCTTTTAGAAAGGGATTCTGTTAAGCGTATCCTAATCCCAAGGCCCCTGCTAGCCACTGGGATTTATGTGTGGTGTTTTATAAGAAGGCGGGACAGTTGTTCCGAGTACCCCTGGGTGTTGGGGTGCCTGGGCCTCTAGGGTCTTTACGGGCTGCAGTGGTGGCATCATTTTTCTCTTTCTTGGATATTAACTGTTTGACCAAATACTTTGTTGAAGCTCCTGAAACCAGTTATAGGCTAGGCACAGCTGTGGCTAAGTACTAGATCCTTCGTTTGAAGCTGGTAATTTCGAGCTCACTCTACCTCTGCAAGGTTTGGGGAGCAAGTTAGGACCTGAGACTGAAAGTGTGTTGGGTGTGTAGGGACTCATATTAAATGGTGGAAATGATCAACTTTTCAAAATCTCCTTATCTTATCCATAGCTCTAGTTTCTCATAAGAAGTTAAGTTATATCTTTGTTCAGCATAACTTAAATGTTCACCATATATGGTTTTTTATTTAGGTTATTATAAAAGGCTGAGAAAGATAAGATGGCTCTGCTTTTATAATTTTAGGCAGTTAGTAAGACATTCTTTTTCAGTCAGTTTGTTGTTGTTTGCCATCAAGTTGATTCTGACTCATCCCAGCAAGTCTGGGATGAGGCCCTATATGACAGAGTAGAACTGCCCCATAAGGTTTCCTAGGCTGTAGTCTTTACCAGAGCAGATCTCCTGGTCTTTTCTCCTACGGAGCTGCTGGTAGGTTCAAACTGCTGACCTTTTAGTTAGCAGCCAAGCACGTAACCATTGCTCCCCTAGGGCTCCTTATGACAGTCTCCAGTGCAGTTCATAAAATATAAAACTTCTAGGCTGTTTGTTTAGGAGGCATTTGAAAAGCAGCGAGTTCAACATCCCCATTTTACAAATGAGCAGGCTGCTTCTCTGACAGTTAAAGGCATGCCCTTGAGCAGAACACTCCATGCAGTGCTGCTTCTTCTGCATCATATGTATGGACGTGTGTATGTATGTACATATACTTTTGCAGTTTGTTTCCCCAGTTAGATTTTGTTGTTCTTAGGATCCTGTTGGTCAGTTTTCTCTGTGGATGGAACAGAAAAGCTTTTGTCTACTGTGTTCTAGATCTCCATTTCCATGTATGAGAATTGCCCCAAGGACAACCCCATGTACTACTGTAACAAGAAGACCAGCTGCAGGAGCTGTGCCCTGGATCAGAACTGCCAGTGGGAGCTCCGAAACCAGGAGTGCATCGCCCTGCCCGGTAGGCCTTGCAGGGGAAGCTTGGTGCATGTGGGTCCAAGAACTTCATGCCCTCCCTCCCCCACCTCCATTGTGCAGCCAAGGTTGAACCCAGCAAAGGGGAGAGGCTAATTTTACCCATTCATCCCCTACACCACTATTGTGGTTGTTAATTTTTTAAACAAAAATTCAGTTTTTTACTATCTTCTCCTACTGTTCTTTGTGCTTGTATAGTTCTGGAGGATTGAATGGCAGCTTAGCTCTGTATTGTTGAGCCTGCTGCATTGTCCCCACCCCACCCTGCTGTGATAATGCAGGAACAGCCAGTCAGCTTGCACTTTATGAACAGTATTTCTTATGCTTTGACCAATGGGATTGGGTTTTCAGCACTTACTGAAGAGAATCCTTTTCCGAGGAGAAGAGGAGAGCTGCCTTTGTCAACAGCATCTCTTGGGGTGATCTCCAGCCCCCAGTACCTCAATTTATGGTGCTCCTGAGGTTTGAGATGATCAGTTGGGGCCCAGAGGCCAGCCAGCCAGCCATAACTGAACCCTTTTGATATACTTGCTCAACCAGGATGTCTAAGAAATGGGACTTCTGTGGTCACTGCAACATCTGAGGCGTGTATGGGGTAGTTGGGCTGGACCAGGCCCCTTTGAATGTCCTTTGGAGGTACTTGATTCCGCTTGGAGGAATGGGCTTCTTTTTCTTCATCTCAGTGCTTCTCAAACTGTAATGCACAGCAAACTACCTGGAGTTCTTGCCAAAAGGCAGATTCTGGGACAGCAGATTGGGATGGGCCCTAGAGGCTGCATTTTAACAAGCAGTGGTTCTGAGGCTGCACTTTGAGGAGGAAGTCTTTAACTGCTTTTAAATGTTCCCTTTCCCATGGTACTGTCCATTTACCTCAGCGACTGTTACTGTTAATGAACACCGTTGATGGTGTCTTCAGTGTACTTTGGTTCTGGTGAAGCTCCTCCACGTGCTCACTGTCTTCCAGGAAGCATTCTTAGCTGCTGTGCAGTACCTTGTGTGGGTTCAGGGTGATTCCAGGTAGCGGACTACCAGCTGGCCATGTGGGTTGTACTGTATTATTTTGGTTTTTTCCTAAGCAGGATCTTGCCCCTTCATTTTTGGAATGCTTTGTGCTCTTATAGCCTGACTAAAGCAAAGCTGTCTTAGTTCTGATACAGTAGTAGTAGCCTGCACTTGAACTTATCATTTGATTTACCTTCTACCTGAGGATGTGAAAATGGTGCAGCTTTTGGAGACTGTCAGTTTGTTCATTCCCCACCTCATTTCCATTATTGCTCTTTTCTATCCCACCCTTCCACGATTTTTGTTTTCTTACCAATTGTTCTTCAAGAAGAAGTTTACCAATCTAACACTGGCACCAAACTTGTTTTCCTTTAAGATATAGGGGACAAGTGGTCTCAGAATATTCTTTTTGGGATTCAGGAAATACTAGTGATGAACAATTTTTTAATTCTTGTATTCTTTGTTTGATCCTTAGTAATGTGTCTGATGCCCTCACCACATCCTAATGAAGTACCTGGAAATCGAATCACCAAAATCATTTAGGTTTACAGTAATTCTAACTGGTAATACAGTAGTTTTGTGTGATTTCTAAACTTCTTTATTTTTATTTTTTCTCTTCCCCCTTTATAAAAGAAAATATCTGTGGCACTGGCTGGCATTTGGTTGGAAACGCGTGTTTGAAAATTACTACTGCCAAGGAGAATTATGATAACGCTAAATTGTCCTGTAGGAACCATAATGCCTTTTTGGCTTCTCTTACAACCCAGAAGAAGGTAGAATTTGTCCTTAAGCAGCTGCGAATAATGCAGTCATCACAGAGCATGGTGAGTTAAAATCTTCAGAACTGTTAAGTGTCTAGTATCCCACCTTCTAGTGAGGGCGTGAATACAGCCTGGGTGTATAAGGCTGCAGGATGCGTGTGATGTGCCTGGCAGCAGGAGGAATGCTAAGTGTAAGCAGCGTAATAGACTGGAACTTCACTCTCAGATTCTGTTCCTTCTATACCTTCTTTATCTTGAAAATTTTTTAACACTTTGTATGTTTTGTTAGTCATATTAAGTAAATTGTACTGTATATGAATAATCATGTATAAAATGAATATTAACATGTATGTACATATTAACATGTATGTACACAGCCCTGGGGATAACAATAGATCGTTTCACACCTGTTTTATCCCTAGGTTCTGCTGGGAGGGAAGTAGGGGAAGAGGGAGATCACTGCTAGATAGGTGGAATTAAGCCACTTGAGTCTCTCAAATTTAAGATATTATTACAGTGCATAATAATAATTTAATGTTAATCATCACAAAGGAATGTACATCTGTTAGGGTCTTTCTAGGCCTCGTGAACCCAAAAGGAGAGGGTACCTTCTTGTCAAAAGTTTCTGAGCACAGAAGGGTCCCAAGTTCTCTACCCTTCCACCCAGTGTTCTCAGCCGGGTCATAATGGATATGCCACAGTCACAGACATTTTGGTCTTTTTTAGTCCAGAGTCTTAGACCTGTGATTCTACTCTTGATTAAATAGATTAATCACAGGACAGAGCTCTTTCAGCAGTGTTGTCTTTGGTACAGAGCAGTTGGGGGAAAATGTTCTTCACGTCAAGCAGGGAGGAGGAGAGGTTCTTCATGTGAAGATACGGAAGGTGTGGCCTGGGTCCTGGCTGCATGTGGCCTCTGTGTCACTGCCTAGAAGGCCATTCCAAAGCTGGAGGGAGGTATTTTACTTTTCTCTAATTAATCGTTTTTTCCAGTGCAACTTTGATGTGGCACGGATACTCAAACATTGGTAATACATTCTTAGTGTGGTTATTTCAGGGGACACCGTGGTCACATTTAATATTTTATGGTATTTTGAAAGCTTTTTAAATTTCATAATCTCCATTAGAGACTACCCATGTTGTTTGTTTTTGTTTTTCCCTTCACCCCCAGATGTGGGTCTCTCCCTGTGTTCTGTCCTTGGCTGTTAGCTCACCTTACCCGTAGTCACTCATTCCCTCAGAAAATTGATGGCTTACAGCTTTGCCCATGACTCCCATGACTCTGGAGTTTCTACCAGTGACTCCTAGTTCCACATCTCTCTGAAGGGATACGTAGTTAGAAGAGAATCACCCATCCCAGCTGGCCATAGATGTTCCTACACTCTTCCACAGGTTTTCTAGCTGTAGAAGGCTCTGTGTAATCTAATCCATTGTGGCCACCTTTATAAAACAGGAATTCATAGGCTCGTGGTAAGACTGATAAGAAGAAAGACAATTAGAGTATAATGTCCTTCTACAGCTGTAAGTCTAGGCTTAGAGCCCAGCTTAGTATGGAAAAATAAGAAAGAACACCCAACCTAGCCTGAGGGCAGAGGCTGGCTGTTAGGCAGAAGGGAAGAGGTAACCCTGAAGATGAGAGAGAATGAATCAGGAAGGTGAAGAGGGAAGGGCTCTCTGAGCATTTGGTACCCACTGATGCAAAACCTCGAGACTGAGGGAATGGCTTGTTGGGTGAGCTACAGGTAAGTTTGCATGGCTGGCCTGCAGACTGATAGCTGGGCCTTAACAAGGGACCAAGGCCAAATCCTGAGAGCCTTGTCTGCTGTGCTAAACTGAATTTTATCAGGAAGACAAAGGGAAATTATTGAGGGACTTCTTAAAAGTATTAATTTTAATTTTCTTTCTTAAAAGTAATACATATTTCAAAAGAGATTTAGAAAATATTAACAGTAAAGCTAAGAACATAAGTGTCACTCATTATTACAACTAATAATAATTACCTTTGGGTGTATTTCTTTTTATAAGCATATATTTTTTTCCTCTCAAAAACATTGTACCTTTTTGTTTTTTTTTTTTTGGTAACTGCCAGAATTAGGAATATCTTTCCTTTCTGGACTAAACTTTGATTTAAAAGAATTTTTTTAATTGCACTGAGGTCATTTCAGTAGTACAGGAATCAGACTGTCCCCAGGGATTCATTGCTCTGTTATTCCCTATTAAATGCAGTGCCATACGATACCCCCTGGCTGAAGGTAGGAATCTTCAGTCATCTGAACTAACCAGGGCCCAAAATAGGCTTAGTTAATGATCTGAGGAAGGCATATAAGAGATAAGTCATAAATATTGGCAAGATGATTTCATGAATGAATGAGCAATTAAACCAAGTTGAGGGGCCATCTTTTCATCGCATTCATCATAGGATGTAGAAACATTCATCATAGGATGTAGAAATTTAGGAACTTGATTATTGCTTTGCTATTAATTTTTCCTCTGTGAAAAATCTGGTATATTATCTTCTCTGAGCTATATTTTTGTCCTTTGTAAAATGTTCATATTGAAATGCTAGGCTCGTTATGTGATGCAAAAATGATGGTCTGTCCTAAGTGATGGCTAAGGCAGGGGGCAGGGAGGTCTTCCTGTATCTGTCTGAGAGGTATATATAACTTAGTTGTTTTTATCTAGAAGCCTGTTTTCATCGAGAGATTGATTGTATTAATAGTTGTGTCTGTTTTGCCTATAGTCTAAGCTCACCTTGACCCCATGGGTCGGCCTACGAAAGATCAATGTGTCCTACTGGTGCTGGGAAGATATGTCCCCGTTTACAAATAGCTTGCTACAGTGGATGCCATCTGAGCCCAGTGACGCTGGGTTCTGTGGAATCTTGTCAGAACCCAGTACTCGGGGCTTGAAGGCTGCAACCTGCATCAACCCACTCAATGGTAGTGTCTGTGAAAGGCCTGGTGAGTACATGGGTGAATTAGGTGTTACTGGAGTTCGTTGAGAGAGAAACTGTATGCGTCACAGTTAAGTATTAAGATGTGTGAAATACTAGTGAAAAACAGGTGGGATATTGATTTCAAGCATATGAAACAGAACATAACCAAGAATTTAAAAAGCAGAGAGAACTAGTCTCTAGCTGTGAATAGTTTGAGCCTTAAGCAAAAACAAAAATAGCAAACCCTACTCGAAGAACCTAAGATTCTAATTAACAATGAGATTGATTGGTTTGTTGATGACAAAAAGAATTGAGAATACTCTGAAAGGCAAACTTCTTTGGTGTTGGCAGAGAAATGTTGTGGAAGAGAGAACAAAAATAAAAATAAAAACAAAGAATAAGAATAGAAAAACAATGAACTGCAGGAACAGTGAATGAAACAGTAGGGTCAGCAGGGAGAGAAATGATGAGAGCAGAAGCAAACCGGAACAGGACTAAAGCTGTGGGAGAGTACTGAAGGGACGCTTTGAGTAGCATCACAAGTTTGAATTTCTCCCCTCTGGGCTGCATTTAGGCCAGCCCCTTGAGAAACAGGCCAGAGGCAGCCTCTGGAGCACCAGGACAAGCCCCAGCCAGCCGAGCCAGGCTTCCTCCCCTGCAGAGGTTACTCACCGACAGTGGGTGCAGTTTCATAGGTACTTCACATCATGTCCCATTTTCGGAGGCTTCTGTAATTTGTCTGATAAATATAAAGGTATCGAAGAGAATTCTCAGCAGTGTGGGAATCACCTTAAAATACGGTCTTTAAACTTCCTACAGAGGAGCTTTTCAACCTTTTTGGAACCTGAACCCTTTGGAGAATTTAATGAATGCTGTGGTTCTTCTTCCCCCCAAAATATAAATATAAGATTTTGCAGATTCAAGGGTGTTTTGTAAACCCCTGAAGTTCATCCTGGGCCTTCTGTATTCTAAGGGGCTTAGAACCCCCACTCTCATGGAAAGATTAGCTTATTCCCTTGTCTCTGCCCTTAATGCTCTTTGAAAAAAAAAAACAGGTTTTTCCCCCCAAACGTATAAACACAGTTGAGTAAACAATGCATGATGACGCTAATGTTTTCTATTTTCTCTTTCATTTGGTGTAGCCCACTAAATTGATTTCATGACACAGCCCACATTTGAAAAGTCTTCGGCCTTGGCTGACATAGTGAGAGCTCTAAGTGTCTCTCTTGTGTTTAATTCCCAGCGAACCACAGTGCCAAGCAGTGTCGGACGCCGTGCGCCCTGAGAACTGCATGCGGAGAGTGTACCAGCGGCAGCTCTGAGTGCATGTGGTGCAGCAACATGAAGCAGTGTGTGGACTCCAACGCCTATGTGGCCTCTTTCCCTTTTGGCCAGTGTATGGAGTGGTACACCATGAGCACCTGCCCCCGTAAGTAGAAAGTCAGCTCTAGGCACTCCTGAGGGCCCTGTATGGGACCACAACTCTTGCCATGGGGCAGTGCTGTCAGCCTTTGAACGTTGTAGGGACCAGACTGGACTTGATGTTCTATTCAGGTCGGTCCAGAGGCTACCATTAAGACAGGCCTGCCCGATGAGAACCTTTCTGCAGAATGAGGCACGATGATACAAGTAAATAAACATTGGATAGATTGCAGAATGCAGACCCAGTTTACCTACTTCAGTGTCATGTTGTTCAATTCATGTCATCTCTCCACTTCTTAATCTCCTAATTCATAAAGTACTTTCCAGTAGATGACCTCTAACCTGCCTCCAAACTTTTGGGATTGAGAGGGGAGGGGAGTTAGCCCCAGTTTTATGTTGGGCAAGATACTGGGTTTTTTAAATTCATTGTCTCTTTTGAAGGATCACAATAGAATAGGAATTGTGGCTCACAGAAGTTACATAACCTGTTAAAGATAAAACTAAGTACAATGAATTTCAGTCTACATGTGATGGTGAATTGCAATCTGTGTTGTCTTTATAGCTGAAAATTGTTCAGGCTACTGTACCTGTAGTCATTGTTTGGAGCAGCCGGGCTGTGGCTGGTGTACTGATCCCAGCAATACCGGCAAAGGGAAATGCATAGAGGGCTCCTATAAAGGACCAGTGAAGATGCCTTCACAGGCCGCAGCAGGAAATCCCTACCCACAGCCCTTTCTCAATTCCAGCATGTGTCTAGAGGACAGCAGATACAACTGGTCTTTCATTCAGTGTCCAGGTAAGATACCTTGTGTATCCAGAGGCAAGTGTTTCACTGCCGATTTATAAAGAATAAAACCTGGAAAGCTACATTGTTTATAGGGATCTCTGTTAAGAAAAAAATATAAGTAACATCATTTTAGGAGAAATAGTTTCATGAGAAAAATATTTTTAAAGTCAATGAATGAAAATATTTGAGAACTTCAAGTGAATTATTTTGGTAATTTTTATTACAAAAGTATTATATGCTCATTATAAAAATTAAATGTTACAGCTGTATATAAAATAAAAACTAGAATTCATTTTTTTTATCTCCAGTTCTTCTTTATAGAGGTAAACACTTCTAATAGTTTGATATCAATACCTCTAGACATACAATGTATATTTTTTTAGATAAAGAATACTCTGTTGTATACTATGTATATTGTGTTATGTTATGTTATATATATTGTTCTGTAGTTTGTGTTGTACTTAAAAATACATCATGGTGATTGCTGGGGAAAAAATTAAAATCTCCTGTTAACCCAGAAACTCCTCTCCTCAAATGTAGAAAAGAAACAAAAGTTTTATTATTGAATAAGCATTAAATCAGATTGCAGTGTGCATCACAGGCAATCCACTAAGACTGCAAAACAGAAAGAAATCTCACCCTTTTAAATAGCCAAACAAGCAGATGCAGTATTGCTTAAGTGTTCTTAAGGTAAGTGATAACTTGTCTTTATGGGAGAGGATTCGACAGCACTGTTTGCTATACGTTCTTTCATAGTTGATCCTAAATTCACCTGGTAATTGGGTGGCCATCTGTGTTAACTGCCTTTATCCAAAGGAAAAATAAAATGTCTTGTATCTCTGTGACAAGTAGGTGGTTACAGCGTGGCACAAGGCACCTAGCTTCAACTCTCAAGGTGACAGGGAGGTGGGGCACTACATTCCTAGATGTCTATATTTCAAAGAGATAGCTTTCAGGCCCTTTAGAAAAACATTCCTGGTTTGCAGCGCAGACAAGAGGTTTATTTAGCTTTTAGAAAGATTTACATACATTATCAAAGGAACAGAGGGAGGATTTGCAAATACATGTTTTCTTAATGAAATGGTCTAACTAAAGGAAGAGGAAAAATTCCTTTTTTTTTTTAATCTCTTACACTCTCTTTCAATGTGCATCGATGTAGAACTACTTTTTAATGGTTGGTGCAGGAAGGATTAGACTGTGAGCTAGTCTAAAACCTTGGCCTGGACCTGTTAGGGGGTGGGTCCCCTAGGAAAGCAACTCTTGAGAAGTTGGCCTTTGCTACAGACTTGCCGTGAATACTCAGGAATGTGCTGGTGTCAGACAGGTAAGGAGTCAGAGCCTCCAGAACAAATGAGAGAGATTGGGTAGGTGAAAATGAGAGAAGTCGGGTAGGTGAAAAGAATTCCAAGAGATTGGTGGGCCAGGGCTTCTCCAAGGGCCTGTCAGGAGTGTCATTGACAACCTGCTGTCTGTGAGGAGGACTATTAGGGAAAAGCCATTGTAAACAAAGGTAAAAGGCAAGAGACAGACTGGGAGAAAGTGTCTACAACCCATATAACAAATGATTTTATGATCCAGAGTATGCAATACCTGCCCCTTGTGGGAAAAAGGGGAAAAGTCAACCACAGAAAAAGTAGACAAAGATGTAAAGAGGCTATTCTTAGAAAAGGAAATCGAGGAAACAGGGAAATGCAAAATGAGAAACCAAATTTTTATCTGCCAAACTGGATTAAATTTTCTGTATTCCCTTTTTTGCTCTCTAAGGTTTTGGAGGATATATAATTTTATTTCTAATCTAGTTAATGGTTAACATTGTAATAAAATATTTAAATCTGTGCTTTTCCATTAATGTCAAGAGTATATCAGGTGAAACGACAACCACAGAATGGGAGAAAATTATTTGCAAACCATATACTTGATAAGGGTTTAACATCCAGAATATATAAAGAACTCTCACAACTCAAGAACAAAAAGGTAAACAACTCAATTTTAAAAATGGGCAAAGGACTTGAGTAGACATTTCTCCAAAGACATACAGGTGACCAGTAAGCACATTATAAGATGTTCAACATCATTAGTCATTAGGGAAATGTAAATAAAAATCACGATGAGATACCACTTCAAACCCACTAAGATGACCCTAATAAAAAAGATGGACAATGACAAGTGCTAGCGAGGATATAAAGATATTGGAACCCTCATATATTGTTGGTGGGAATGTAAAATGATGTAGCTGCTTTGGAAAACAGTTTGACAGTTCCTTAAAAAGCTAAACATAGAGTTACCATATGATCCAACAGTTTTCACTCCTAGATGTACCCAAGAGAATTGAAAACATATGTGCATACAAAAACTTGCATGCAAATGTTCACAGCAGCATGATTCACTGTAGGCAGAAAGTGGAAACAACCCAAATGTTTGTCAGCTGACGAATGAACAAAATGTGATAAATTCATTCAGTGGAATACTATTTGGCAATAAAAAGAATTGAAGTACTGACATATTCTACAACATGGGTTAACCTCCAAAACTTGCTACATAAAAGAAGCCATATGCAAAAGACCACATGTATGATACTATTTCTGTGAAGTGTTCAAAAAAGGCAAATATAGTGGCAGAAAGTAGATTAGTGGTTGCCTAGGGCAGAGGCATGAGGTAGGAATGAAGGGTAGTGGGTGTGAGGTTTCAAAAGCTGCATCATTTTACATTCTTTTTTTTTTTTTTTTAATTTTTTTTCCCTTACAAAAATTTATACATACATTGTTATGTGACT